AAATGGTGAAGCTCTTGATGAAGTTACTACCACTGATGTGATTGTTACCGACAATAGGACATTTCCTGATGAAGCAGATGAACCTCACGTGAAGCAGCAGCCAACAAGACGGAGACCAGTACGGAAAAAGATACGTCCCGTAAAATTAAGAGACTTTGTTGAATTGTAATTTTGTGATTGTAATTCTGTACATTTAATTAAGTTATTGTTAATTGTTATTAGTTTAGTGTAAGTGGCTATTGTTCGGGACGAACAATACTAAGGAGGGGCAGTGTTGCGTCAGCGAGGTCACGTGACTAGTGTCATGCCACTTCTCTCGAACCTTCGGGAGATTACTAGATATAGGGTAGTCTGGTATATATATAAGAGGGTGACAACGTGAGGTAGTGAGTAATTGATCTGCAGTGAGAAAGTATTGTTGAAGTTAACGTACGTTATAGCATTTGTTTTAGCGCGAATGTTGAAATCAAGTGTACAGTGAAGTTATATTCAGAAAGAATAAACCAGTTTTATTAAGTAAGGACTTGTGTCGCTAAAGTTTGGTCGGAACGAAGTTACGGAAAGTTAATTAACAAACGGAGACTTAACACTATATTTTTGTAGTGTTGTAATTTGTTTGTTAGCTAGAGCGAACTGTGGGTGTTAATGATGACATTAAGTAGGCATAGAAAGTTTTAAGATTTGATGACAAGTTGATTTGTTTTTTCTCAAGTACAGTCCATTTCTAGGATAAATTATAAAAAGAAGTTTGGTGAAGGTAGTTAAGAAAATAGAGTTATTTCAAGATAGAGAGTTGAATCAGTCAGTGTGTTTTCGTGAAGTATTAGGATCTGCGTTAGCTATCGCGCTTATTGAGTCATTTTGTACAAGTCGATCTTATTGTTACGACAGCGGAAGTCACATGACGCTGCTGGCGCGTGCGTGATGAGTTTCTCGAATGATCGGGGAAGTCCGAGTGTGTTCGAGATGGCCTCTTCGTTAGTATATAAGCCTGGCAGAGAAAGCCAGCATAAATGAATGAAGAGAGAGCAGTAGTTACTTTGAGTTCCGTGTAATTTATGATTCTGTTAGTTTCGAGCTAGTGAGCCGTAAAGTGTGTGTTTTGCACCAGTCGAGAGCGAAGTTATCGAGACTGTGAATCGCTGTGATTTATAGCATGTATTATAAAAGTTGTTAAGTTTAAAGTGACGAGAAACATACTGATTGTGGAACTTCTGTGTACTAAAAGTTTGTATCGAGGAAGAATAAAATGGTTTAATCAAGAAAGGACTTGTATTGCTGAAGATCCTCGGAAATAATTTTTTTCCGGAAACAAACAAACAAGCAGATACGTAACATTATATTAATTCTAATATCTTTAAAGAGGTTTGAACATCACCTGTAACGTAGGCGTACAACAACTTACGACAATATACAGATATTCAAACTTATAAAAACGTTAAAAAAGGAAATAAACAAATTTGTGATGAAACGTGAAGTGCACATTGGATTATATTCGCCGGATAATTTAATTAAAAGAACCTGCCCAATAAAATAATAACATTACAACATCATTATTGCAAATAGCGCCTTATTCTGACGCACATATCTATGTGACATCACAATAAGACTTATAATGATGCTTAATGTATCTTTTATTACTTATCCTATGTGGGTTTCTAGTAAGAAATTATAATAGCATTGAATAAATTAACAATTTTAGTGGTCTCGTTACTACTAAATTACAAAAATATAAATTATTGTGACCAATCCATGATCAACTAGGAAAAAACAACAATAACATATGATATATAGAGGTCGTATCACCTATGGCGGGTAGATAAAATGGAGACTATATCTAGTTGAGTTAGTTGGTTTGTGAAAATTTAAGCCCTAGTGTTTACAAATACCTTTATATCTTAAAGAAATCCATTGTCGGTTTTAATTGTATATCTATTATAACTCAGTTCTTTTTTTGTTCTTGGTCGCACATTTAATGTAATTTTTATTTGAATTCATAAAAAGTTAACGAGGTTAGGCCTAAAAATCGTATTACTATTATTAGTATTAAAAGTAACGTCGACATGTCTCCTACGTAGAATTATTTTATTAACTAATAAGGATTCGCGTTATAAAAGTGAGCAGTAGTACTACTAGTTATCACTTAACTGAAGATTTGGCTAAAGCTATGAGATTAAGTTTAATGTAAAATGCCAGTTTCGCATCACAACGTTAGTCGTGAAAATAGCAGATCAAACTTAAATGACACTAGTGAAAACTCGAGTGTTAATGTTATTAATAATAATAGTATTAACAGTAATGCTATATCCGACGGAATGGCCTCATGTTCGGGAACATCTGCAGCACTTGTTTATAAACTCTGCAGTCATATAACAGGTGTAAGTTCAACAGGTATGTTTCTAAAATTAAATATTTATAAATTTACTAAATTTTAATTAATTATCAGTGACTAGCTTCCCAATCACTGGGAATGAATGTGATTGGTTGTTCCCAAATGTTACACACAATACACTATTTCCCATGCATGTGTGTCTAATAGTAACAATGACAGTTGTTTCGATGCAATTATGTTTCTAAATTCTAGATAGACTAAAACATTAAACATACTGAGCTCTCTAATGTTACCAATTTGTAATGGTTACAATTTATGTTGTACATTTGTACTTCAAATGTTGCAATTATTATGTTAGATTCTAATATTTAAAATAGAATGTATCTGCCAAAATATGATATTTATTGTAAACTAAAACTCCTGATGACCAAGTCCTATTAGCCAATTTTCAATGATATTCCAGACCAGACTGCTAAAATCAAGATTTCTTAGTATTAAAGAAACTTTGTATTTACCCATTGCAGCATGCACTACTTGAGTGATAATCATTAACATCAGCAAAGAACAAGGTGCGGCTGTAAGTTCTAGATATCACTTGAACAGCTGCTGAATAACACTACTATTGACATTCTTACATGATGTTGTATTAAGCAATAAATGTTCTCTACATTGTAACTAGTATTACTTACTTCAAGCACAACAAAGGAATGTACTTGAAACAAGATCAGCTTAATGGTTTTCTCAACCATATGTGAAACCTACAGATATTCAGAGCAAAGAATGAAGACTAATTATTTATAATGCTACAAGAAGATAGAAATAAATGTCTTCCTTACTTCAAGCTGTCCATTAATTTTAATCCAATAAATTTTAAATTCATGCTGTTCATAACCATTTAACAAAGGTACAAAAATGCCATACTCGCATCAAAATACCTTTAAACAGTGAATTACCATGCATGATTACAAAAATAAACCAATGAATAATGTAAAATACAAAATCTAAAAATTTGTAATAGAGATAAAATACATACTTTTGAAATGAAGCCATTTGACAGATAATTGCAAAAATGAACCACTTAACACAAAATGATACATAAAAATCCTTTAATAATGATAATGAATCAATGAAATTCTTTAATATCAAGCAAATTTGACATGAAAAAACCCCTTTTAACTACAATACCTGTTGATTCATAACATACATTAAATCACAAAATCAAACTCGTTAAATACATACATCTTGTGAAATTTCTGAAACATATAACCCTTTCCACATTAAAAAAAAATAGAAATGAGCCCTTCTGTAGCATAAAATATACAGTGCTATAAAAATAAACCCATTTTTTTATTAGTGCAAATACACATGGAAAGAAATATTTACATAAAAATCAAATCGCACCATAAAGCTAGCCTTTAAACAATATTTTAGTACATTAATACAGTCAGTTTTTAAAATTATATTACAAGAAAGTACAAAGGAAGTAGTACAAATCTACATTAATATGCAAAATATTTAGAATACAACAAAGTAAAATTAACCCTTTATGACATATACACACATTAAAATAGAATCTTCATTAGCAACTCGGAGCAAATTTTAAATACAAAATAAAAATGAACCCATATGATGATAAAAAAATTAATGCAATGTGCTTAAAGGTACCTACATATTTACAAGCAATCACACATACAACACAAAATCATATTCAAAAGACACACATAAAACATTCTAAATATATATACACACAGTATTTTCATATACACATAGATACATATATTGATGTACAGAATTCTGTTAGGATGAAATTATTAACATTATGTACATATTCATATAAATAACAGTATACAAAACCATATTCTTCAGACCTGGCTGATGTCATAATGGGGTTGATGTAAGAGAGCTGAAGCCTTGGCTGGATTGCTGACCCTGTTGAATCAACATTTAAGTCCAAGCACCATAAGGTGAGGTCATTGAAAACCTTTGAGAGATCCTTCACACTGGAGGCCTTGACAGCAAGATATCCCTTCTCATCATTGATAGTTGAATTAGTAGTTGCTGGAAACCTGGGTTACGTCACTCTTTGGTCAAGATATAACTTTACATGGTAGCCATAGAAACATCCAAGTTTTAGCACACAAAAGAATGTAACTATAGCTAGTTGACAAACAACATCAAAAATTATTGAGTATTCAATCTTATGTAGCAATTGTCTAGCTTAAAAATTCAAAATTAGTGAATTTCAAAAGGTCAGTTAGATGTGTAGGTTGAAAGAGGTCATAACCAGTAGGTTTCAACCATTGCTTCTCTGAAAAAATACCTTTAGAAGCTGAGTTATATGTGGTTTGTTTTGGTCAAGCAATATGGCTACAGGTTCACATGTGCACATGATCTAATCTCATGTAGAATGTGTCCCTGGTGCCTGTGAATTCATCAGTCTACAGGCTTCATAGGGTTTCTATTTGACCAATACCCTTTTAGCAATGCTGCCCTCTGTTGCCATTGCCATGACAATGGACAGTGCACTCACTGTAAACCAGGTCCTACATACATATGCTGACTCTTTTTAGGTGAAGCAAAACCTTCACTTTTGACTGTTAGTACTTTTATTGTCTTTCCTTTGGAACTTTTCTTTAGTTCCAAGTTTAGTATGAGCATTGGTGTGAATAACTTGAGTGCTTTTTTGGGGGGAAGTTACTGCACGAGAACGTGTGTCACCCTCCTATTGATGGAGGGTTTTTGTCTCATTATTATGTTGTCATGCACCAATTTAGTTTCATGTTAAAATGCATGAAATTAGTTGGGGGTTGCCTCAAGGCAAGTGGCATACAAATCTCTGTCAGATGCACAAGGAAGATAGAAAATTTTATGAGAAGGTGAATATCTATTGGAATTACATTTTCAGGTAAGAAAAATGGTAACTTTTGGTTAAAATACTTACGTTGAAAGAGCAAAAGTACATAAATATGGGTGTTTGCTGATTTCATCAGTAGTTTTAATACTTTTAATTTTTGTTCCAAAATGCTATGGCAAGCAAACAGTGTAAACATTCAAGTGATATTACTAGCAACTTTGTTTCTGTTTGTGTGGTGGAATTTTTATTTAAGTTTGATTTTCTTTTCTTATTCACTAGAAGCTGTAACACCATCATATCAGTTAGCCTTGAGAACACTTAGCTGGTAGGTAATATTTTTTAAAACATAAAACATGCTTTTTTTTAATGTATTATAAGGTGTCTTAAAAAAAAAGCTGAAGTTAAAATTTCTGTCATTTGAATATGTTATATTAACCTTCAATTTTTTTAATCTTTTGCTTGTATATGCCTTAATGGCAATACAATCAAGATACTTAGTTTTTCCTGCAGTTAAATTGCTTGTAAATTACAGCACATTGTTATACCATGTTTTTGAATTTGACAAACTGAATTTCTATTCTTAAAATAACAATGAAGAGAGAACTGCAATCAAGTATAACAGAAATCATTGTAATAATACTTGCCCTTGTTGTATGTAAAAAAAGAAAATACTTGTCTCTCTTGTCTTTGTTTCATTTATGGTAATAACTATTGTACTGCACATTGGAATTTGTTTTAGAAGTTAAAAGGCTTAATCAGAGTTACATAATAAACTTGTATGTATTTTTATATGTAATAACTTTCCATGTCTGTGTGTTTAAAATGCTGTTGCAAGTTACAATTTATTGAGAATGTTTAGATCAAATGTTCTTGTGTTTCTAGCACATCTTCTTCTGCTGTGGAAAGTGATGAATTTGAAGTCAGTGAGAAGATAAAAAAAAGATGTATGTGAGCAGTTGGCTTGTCATTATTTTTAATACATCTCTCTTCATGATAAAAAATATTTAGGCACATAATACAGAAAATAAAATATATATTATTACTAAAGTTATTAAAGATAAATGTTCCTAAAAAATGAAAAATATATAATATAAAGCTATGTAATGACCAACTAATTTATATTTCATTTTAAAAGCTAATTAGTATCACACTTATCTTACACTACTTATAGTGGTTAAAGAAAAAAGGGAGAAGGATGCTGTGAAATTTGCAGAACTTCATCGAAAGCTTCAGGGAAGTGTAAGTATAAAATCCTTTTGTGATATATCTAATTTTGTAGCCTCGTCATGTTTACAATCTTAATTTGTATTCTTTATAGGAATTCATTAATTATATTCTTGTTAAAGTAGTGAACAAATAATTTTATTGCACATATGAATTAATATTATCTCATTTTTATGGTTATTAGTTTTAATTTAAATGCTTTCTTTCTTTTTTTTGGAAATTGGTAGGAACGTTTTTTGATTACCTTTTGGAGAATAATTTTAGAGAATATTAAAAATTTTTGGCATATAAAAAGTATGAAATTTATAGCTAAAAATTGATAATATACTTCATTTAGTGCTTGTAATTAACACTGGAGTAAGCAGTATTTTTATTTTCAGCTTATATAATTTAATGGTTGTGGGGCTTGAGTTTATTTTTTATTTTCTTGATTTTAGAATAACAAACATTTTGAGACATTTTTCAAATGTAAATACTTGCATTCACGTCTCAGGCACGGAGTCGCCTGATGCCCCTCCATTACCACCTCATGAGTCTACTGTTACCCAGGCATCAGGGGGGGGTGCACCTTCTGTGGAGGACATACAATTCCTTACACACACAGAGAAAAGAATCTTACATGTAGTCGAATGCTTTTTCTCCTGTTGGCTCTGAGTCTGTGGGAGATCAGGAGTGAACTAGTGTAAATTTAGACTATTTTTCCAGCACCTTCCTTTGCTCAGACAGCTACTCATGAACCTCAGACAGACATTCTGCCTCCTTTTTACAACTAGTACACCATGTTTATAATGTTTTGAGTATTTCTCCTGTGACTTATGAATCTTCACCTTCTTTATTGGGAGAAATTAGTTTGTCTGATTACCTGGTCCTTCCACCTTCGCTAGATATTGCTGTACATGTTATTGAGGGAGGGTGTTGCCATGCCTCATTTAATGGATCAGGACTCTCAGAGGTTAGACCCTCTGCTTCCTATTTACGGCTCTAGACAAGATGCCACTGTTCATCTTGATCAATTTCAGTTATCCAGAATTCATCTCTCACTTACAACAGTTTTGCATTTTTATCATCTTTGCAACTGTTTTCTGAGGCCTATCATAGATCCCCTTCTCACACTTTGGTTAAGCTATCAGTTTCTGCTCTCTCCTTGGTATCTTGGTTGGTTTGTTGCTGGGAGTTTACTGGAAGGAGTTTGCCTTCCTACTTCAGCCCTTAGAGATCTCTGAGAAGCTCCTTTTCTCAGACAGTCTATTTTTGCAAGAATTCCAGACTCCATGGAATCTTGAGTAGATGTGGCCCATCTACATTCTTCACTTGCTACACTGTCTTCATGACTGTCCCACAGTTCTTCTACAGGATGGTTTACTACATCTCCCATTCAAGTTTCCAGACCTCCTGCTTCAGTGCCACGATCCGTAGGAACACAAGGGTGATTTCAACTTTACCAGTGGGGATCCTCCTCCAGGGTGGAGTGCAGATTTCACCATCAGTGACTACCTTATGGGGTCTTGTGTCAATATGGGAGACATTCACCACAGATCAGTGGGTCATTCAGTTTCTCAGGTGTGGATTGGTCATTCAGTTCATGACTCCTCCTCCTCTGTCTCTAATACTAGCTGGCTTTCCACTCCCAAAGGACCTTCTTACTTCCAGTTGTTGAGCACAAGCCATCTAGGATCTTCTGCACAAAGAGGCCATAGAGCACGTCACTTCCTCTCTTGAGGGTTTTTGTTCTCGGATGTTTGCAGTACTGAAGAAGACAGCCAATTGGTGACTGGTTATCGACCTTTCTCATTTCAATCGCTTCCTTGGTTTACAATGGAGTTGTTTTTTTCCCTTCAATGTCTCTTTTCACCCAGACTATGGATGAAAAAATTTATGTCACAAATGCCTACCTTCATATCCTGGTCACCGAGTCTTCAAGGCATTATCTCTGTTTCATGCACAACAACCAAGTTCTTCAGTTTCATGGTCTACCATTTGGCTTCGCATCTGTTCCCTACGTTTTTTGCCGGATAGTCAGAGCTTTTTCATGTCATCTTCACTCCCTCGGCATTCACACTCACCATTACATGGACGACTGGCTTCTCTCCCCCTTCCTACCATTTAGCAGAACTGCACAGTCAAACTCTGTTATCAGAAACTGCGAGAGTTGGGTTTCTTATCAAAAAGGAAAAGTCTCTTTTTTACTCCCACACTGTACCTCATCCATGTAGGGGTGTTTTTCAATTTCAGACTAAGCTGGGCCCAACCTTCTCCTCTTTACCTTCAGGCCATGGAACGGGCAGTTCTTCAAATACAGTTATCTCCTTTTCCACCAGTACACACAGTTCTATCTCGTTTGAGGATGTGGGTATCCTTAAAATCCCTCATTCCTTTAGATTGGGTCCACATGAAGGCCCTTCAGTGGTCCTTATGGGACCAATCTAACATTTGCATAAATTTGGTGGTTGAACAAGGACAACACAAAAGTACATGTCCCTCTACCACCTCCATGGCCTGAGATACATCTGTTCACAGATGCTTCTCTTCAGGGCTGGGATGCTTCTATGGACAATGTGGAATTCAAGTGTGATGGCCAGGTATGGAGGCTAGTCATTGGAGCTTGGCTTTACCACCAGTCACAATAGATTTATATTAAATCCAGAATTACAATTGCAAGTGGAGTACACAAGTCATTAACTCAAGGAAGTTTACAATTACAGTAAAGAATGACTCTTGAGAGTGAGATTTTACAAAAACATATCAAAATCTAATAATTCTCCACTTATAAAAAATACAAATACAACTTCTTACATCAACTGCTTTGCTATTTCATTAAGTAATTCCTCTACTAGATTCATTAAGTTACCTATTATCCTTTGTAAATTCTCGATCAACACACTATGTGAATAATACTCAGACATACTTAGAGGTATTAGTTCCTTTTATTCATTTTACTTTAGTTCCTTAACTACATTAATCGATCAAGAAAAATAGTAATTTAACTTGCATCAAAGTTAAGATGGTGTTCTGGCCTCTTTGCAGGTTGGACAGCTAAAGCGTCTTGAACAGAACTTCTGCAAAAATCTAACAAGAGAACTTTTATTTGGTTCTGGAGAACTGGCATTTCAGATCCAGACATGAGTTTTTAAATGATTCTTTCATAGTATCCGTACGAGTTCCCAAATAGTGTGCACATCTACCCGCAAGTAGGTCTGACACTTCATTGGTTAATTTCTGCAACTCATCAGACTTCCCAAATACAATAACAAAAATTCTCTGGCAATTGGTTGCTGTTAGAGCTGGTGAATCAGCCACCAGCTCACTTGTACTGCTACACGCTTCTCTAGATATAAGTTCCACATCAAAGTCCCGATTCTTGCCTCTAACATAAACTTTTTTGCAGCATTTTCTGTACTACTAGAGTAGCATCATCAGTTTGTCACTGTTAAATTCATAATGATCTTTTATCGTTTTTTTTTTTTTCTCTCTAAGTGTCTTCACGGATGTGCTAGGCACTGGTTTTTTATAACTCTTGATTCTCGATGCTAGTTAACTGTAATCCACCTAGTTCTGGCTGTATTACATAATGTAGGCAATTTCCTTTACGCCATTTCTTTATGTATGTGTCCACACCCATCTCTGTTATATAGAGTTTTTTTAATTTTTACCTAATTACCAAAACAATTGCATAAAATTGCTTATTAGTCCAATTGCTTCACAAGTAACTTGGAATTTAGAGGAAGCTTCTCTCCACATCAATCTCTTAGAACTTTTAGAAGTCCAATGAACTACGACTCAGGGTCTCAAATTGTTGCAAGGGAAGATGGTAATGCTTATTCAGACAATTCCACAGTAGTCTTGTACATTCTGAAGCAAGAGAGCATGCACACCAGATCTCATTGTTTTTGAACATTAGATCTTCTCCTTTGGGCACACAAACACCAGATTGTTCTTCTTGCTTGTCATGTTCCAGGGGTAATGAATCTAGTACCTGACCAGTTATCTCGTCCTAACAGAGCTCTTCCTATGGAATGAATGCTTCATCCTCAAGTTTTTCATTGAATCTGCTCATGTCTTGAGACACCACAGGTTAATGCTTTCTGGTCTCCAGTACCTCACCCTATGGTTTTGGGAGTAGATGGTCTCAGCCAGGATTGAACAGGTCTTCATCTTTATGCATTCCTTCCTATTCATCTGCTCTCCAAGGTTCTGGCACTGATTCGCCCCAGGTCTTGTCAAGTTCTTTTGGTGGCACCATATCAGCCAGGTCAGCCCTGGTTTCCACACCTCCAGTATCTTCAGGAGTGTCCACCTCTTCCCCTTCCTCCCTGGCCATCTCTTTTACATTAGCCTCAGACACAAATTTTTCATCCAGTGGTTGGTGTTCTTTGACTTCATGCCTGGCACAGCATCAGGGATTGATATCTCGAGTGGCATCCTTATTAACACGTTCCATTTGACATTCTACTTTGGAATTTTATCAAAGGAAATGGTTTACTTACCATCAGTGGTCTCTTAGATGTGGGTTTAACCCTTCTCATCCTACTGTGCTAAATGTCACTCTATTTTTGAGATGGTTGTTTGACAAAGGTTTGGTGCCTTCATCTGTTGCTTGTATAAAGTTTCATTATCAGCTACTTTTCATTTTTCTAAGAGAAGAAATGTTTTTTAATTCCCTGATTTTGTCATTACTTTTGAAATCATTTTGTGTTATCCATCTTCGTCACTCTTTCCAGGTTCCTAATTGGGATATCACAGTGGTTCTTCAGGAATTATCACTACCACCTCTTTAAACTTTGGGGTCATGTTCACTATATCATCTTTCACTTAAAACATATGTTCCTCTGTTATTGGCTAGCAAGCATTAATGTTCAGATGTGTTTGTGCTTCATGTTCACGGGACACTGTACCATTCCAACTATGTTCTGTTGTATCTAGATGGGTCCTTTCTATCTAAAACTGCAACAGCAAGTGTTCTAGGTATCCGTTGTTAAGGATGGTTGATGTGATGTGTTCTTCTCTTATCTTCTTAGGTTTTTTTGGTATTACAAATCTTGTTGATTCTGGAAACTAAGCAGTTTATTATGCCTGTCTTTTCACTGTTGGGGTGATTTGATTATATTCAAAGTATTTTTCTATATCTCTGGGTTTTCTGTAAACTCATTTGGTATATGGATTGTGTGTCTTGGTATTCATTATACCAAGAAATGGATTTATCTTTTTCTGTTTTCTGAATTGTACTGCAGGATGTTTTCTGTTTAGATAGAATTACTGAATCATGCTTTTAGAGTGTGACCATAGTATGACTAAATCATCAACATATTTAGACAGTGTTCTGGGGTATAATGCAGCTGATTTAAAAGCATTAACTTCAAAATGTTCTGACTAGAGGTTATTGAACACTGGTTTAATTTTTCTATAGGACCTGACCTGTTTAGAATTACATTTATTTGTCTCTTTGAAAAGATCATAATATTTGCTTGCAGTACCTAAACATATAAAGATGCATTGTGATATTTTAGAGTTTGGTAAAATGAATGTGTAATTTTCATAACTTAAAGCTAAAGATTTTCTTTCTCTTTTTACAGGTAGTGCTGAAGAATCGTTGGGCAGTTATGTATTTCCTCCTTAACCTAAGTGGATCTAAGAACAAATACCAGACAAAGGTTAGTTGTGATCATTCATTTTCGTGCATGTAATCAAAATCTCATCTAGTGATATTACACATAGCAAACTTGAGCAATAAAACACAAATCGAGTTTGGAGTGTTAAGCCAATGAATAATTTAATGATTTTTGCTTCTTAAATATAAATTTTATTGGCCAGGAAAGAGTAGACCACTATCTGACTCTGCTTGGCTTGCCAGAGATAACTTTAGTGTAGAAAAAACCTGAGTTAACGAATTTAAAGATTATATTTCCAAATGTCAGGTTTTGAGAGAAATAATTGTTATGTTTTCATAGCTTTTTCTTTTATATAAAAAAGTTAGGATATCAAAAGAAAGCTTTCTTGAAGGTCAGAATGGATAAATATAACATACAAAACTCAATGTAGCTTGATTCTGGATCTGAAACATTGTACAATCCTTTAACAAAAATTTGTCACCCAAAGAACAGTTTCTTTGTTTTACAATTGACTATAATGTAAAAATCAGTGTGACAAAGCTATTTTTTATTTGAGGAATCACAAAAATGTAATTTCAGAAATTAGGGAAATGGCAAAGCAAGCATAAAAAAAACATATAATCTAACATTTAATCTGAATGGTCTGTAATAGTTTTGTTAAGTCAGCTATTTAAGATAAACTTCTAATATGTAGCTTATAACAAGTATACTGTGAGTCAAAAACCATTAAGCAGAAGAAAAAAAAAGTTGCCTTACAAGTTTAAAAACTTTAGTTATAGGACTATGCTTGGCCAAAAATAGAAAATTATTAGGATAGGAATGTTGTTTATTGCTGGTATTTATAGACTGATATAAGTACATACATTTCCTACATTATATAAAACAGGGTAACCAATTGTTATCTCCTAATACCTGAAGCAACAAGTTTTAACATTATACTTTGGACAAGTTTTTCCCCCCATAATAATTCTTAAAAGAACTGTAAAATTACTATGTAAATTATTAATGTCAATATGATAAAATTTCAGATATTTTGCTAGTCTTTAAAAAAATAGTTGTTTAAATGCATCCTCTCTTAAAATCTGCATTTTAAACTATGACTCTTACTTTTTTCATATTGTATCACAATAGTTAATATCTAGTTTCAAATTATTTTATATTAACTTGGTTAACATAGAAACAGTAATGCATCACCTAAAGTGCCTAACACCCAAACATCTCATGTGCACAGCAGTATGTGGTATACTGGATATCTCAATGCTATACTGTAAGCTTATGCATTGTTGAGCAAACACTGAGAGATTTATTTTCTTAACAGTCACCTGTTCCAACAATTTACTATGTGTATGCTTTTCCAGACTTATTCCAGTCAATTCACTATTGTTTTACAATAGGAAATAAGTAATAAGAAACTCAGAGTCTAATCAGATAATATTAGTTTTATTGTGTTGACAAAACTGTTTACATTTTTTAACTGTATGGGTGCAGCTTAATGAAAGGTTAATTTGTTCCTTGCTACTAAACTCCCATATTTTGGTCTTTCTTTTTCCCTGTCTTTTAAGAGGATGCTTGGAGCAGTGGAACATTTTACACTTTGCATTACATGAAAAAACTTGGTAGTTTGAACCAGTAGGTGTTATTACATTTGCATTTTAGAAATGCAGTGTTATTATTTTTTTGTGTTTATTAACATTTCGTGTGTGTGTGTGTATATATATATATATATATGGCAGATTTTG